AACAAAAAAGAGTTCTGGCAGAAGGGTATGTTGAAGGAAAGGAGAGAAAGATGGAAGGCGGAAGGGAGAATGTAAAGGAAGGAAGATGAGAGAATGGACGAGAGTATGGAAGAACGATGTGAGGTAGGGAGGGAGGGGTGAAGTGAGGATGAAAGGGGGGAGGAGGGAAAGGAGAAGGAAGAGGGAGGAGGGAAGGGAGAGAGAAGAGGTAGCCTATTCTTGAGTTGAATGGCAAAGCTCAAGATGTCTTAGTATGCAAATAGTATGTGTGAGTTGGTGTGCGTATGTGTGAGCGAGTGTATGTGTTTTGTATATGTTAGTACATATGTGCAAATGTGTTTTATCAAAGTTTGTGTCTATGTGTAGTGGTGCGTGTGTGTGTGTGTGTGTTTGTTGTGTGCTTGAGTGTCTGCTTGTGTGTGTGTGTGTGTATTTCGTTACGAGAGAGAGAGAGAGAGAGAGAGAGAGAGAGAGAGAGAGAGAGAGAGAGAGAGAGAGAGAGAGAGAGAGAGAGAGAGAGAGAGAGAGAGAGAGAGAGAGAGAGAGAGAGAGAGAGAGAGAGAGAGAGAGAGAGAGATTTACCTATAAGAACAACGGTGAAAAATACTTAGTGATACTTCCGTTTCTCTAAATATTTACCACAAGTATAGATGATACACCAAAGGTTATCTGTACACAGTTTAAGAAGAGACCTCCTCCTCCTCCCCCTCCCCCTCCCCCTCCTCCTTCTTGTCCTGTAAGAAACTGCATTACCGAGTCATTATTTGCATTATTGATAGTTCACATTTGGGGAAAAAATGACTTCTGATAAGAGATGGTCATCATTACTCTTTCATTACGAGTTTTAGGTCATTAACGATGTTTTAGAGTAAAGGTTTTTCATGTTGACATTTGGGAATAATATTTGTAGTCATTGTTAAACGTAAAATAATCCTGTGACATTGAGCAAGCGACCAGGTCCATAACGATCCTTCCCAGTTGGTCCAATAAGAATTCAGCTCTCACAGACTGGACCAATAAGAAATCAGCTTTCCCAGACTAGGGCAGTATGAATATACCTTACGTGATGGATGACTTTATGACCCATTGGATGACCTGATCAAATCCATCCGATCCATTCATCCAACCACACCATGACGTGTAATCCGCTTGACTTAAAGAAAATATAGAGAGATTTACAGTCGACTAGTTTTCCCTCATTTAATTGAAAGAGCTACCTGGTCTGTACATTAGCTGCAGGTAGTGTTGTTACGTGTGTTTGCCGGAGAACCACACAGGTGAAGGCTAATGAACAAACTTGTGCACTAAGGGAGAAAATGTGTCAAGGTATTTTATTTTGTTTTGCTTTATTTTGTTTTTTCTTGTGTTTGAAAAATTTCTTTGTTGGAGACTAGTAGAGTATTTAGATGATTTTTGATATGAACGCTTCACTACTCTCTCTCTCTCTCTCTCTCTCTCTCTCTCTCTCTCTCTCTCTCTCTCTCTCTCTCTCCCATAAAGTAAAGTAATGGGTTTCTAATGGGTCGGAAAGTCAAATTCATGCCATAAGTCTGCCGGGTGAGAGAATAATGGGAATAGGAAGGAGTGGGCGGAGAGAGAGAGGGGGGGGTGGGGTGAAAGATGAAGAGAGAGAGAGAAGCAGAAGTAGAAGGGAGAGAAACTAATGATGGAGTGAGAGGAGTAAAATAGGTAGAAGTGGACGAACGAAAGACGGAAATGGAATGGGGAGAGAGGAAAGTGAAAATATGAGGAAGAGGAGCTGAGAAGGAATAACGAGCGATGGAAGAGGAAGGGATACAGCAAGAGATGGGAGGGTCAGAAATGGAAGATGAGGAAGGGAGAGAGACTGGTGAAAGGGGGAGTGAGACGAAACTAAAAGGAGGAGTGATTGGAATAGAAAAGGAGGAGGAGGAATGAGGAAGTGAAGACTGAAAGCAAATGATGAACAAAACAAATACTGTGTGTGTGTGTGTGTGTGTGTGTGTGTGTGTGTGTGTGTGTGTGTGTGTGTCGTTTTACCAAGAGTCTCTTTTTTATAAATTGAAATTAATGTAAGCTCATATCGTCATAATAAATACCGGTAATATATCTTGAGGCAGTTCTAATTATACAAGTGTAGAGATAAAATTTCTAAACAAAAATATTTCCTTTAATGTTTCCTTCAACTGTTCCTTTAATGGTGTAGGGAAAAATGTATATAGATTTTCCACTTTACATAACATATACACAATATTTTATTCATGATATTTTTTCTGTATGTGTTTGATACTTATGCAAAGTAAATAGAGTTAGATCTTTCTCATACGTTAAAACTAAATGTAGAGTATTTACATATTTTATTTTTTGTGTGTAAAGTCTCACATATTTAACCAACTCTGTACAGTATAACACACACGTCTCTTGATAGTGTTCAGAGGCAGTGATTCTCACGACTAACATCCACGGTTTAAAGTTATCATGTCAACCAAGGTAAAATTTTATATCATTACCGTGTTAAAATTTTCCACAGTTCCCACAACCACTTCGGTGAGTGACCCGCCATTCATGGTGCACAAGGACACGCGTCTTCTCCCAGTCTCCCTCTGTGAAAATTTACATTGAATTGAATAGATAACAAAAAAAAAAACAATGAGGAGGAAGTATTGACCGCGAGGCCCAAGAAGACTAAGGTAATAAAAGCATTCACTTCACCTCAGAAAGAACCAACAATTTACCAATAGTTGAGCTGAAGGTAGGTTATTGCACCATGAATCCCTTGGTGCTTGGACTGTAGCCTACCGTCAGCCAGTAGACGGGGGTTTTGGTACACTCGGACCTCCCTTGGCAGATGTCATTATTACTTTACCTTTGCCCTTCTGAGCTGTATGGGCACAAGATGAGAGAGAGCCTTATGCAACACCGAAACACCTGATTAATGAGCAAATAGAATTATATCAAGAATCTAATCCTGTGTTGCACTAGGTTCCTTTCTCGTCTGTAAGAGGGAAGTGCACACAGCGTCCGAGAATGAATGCTCCCGGTGGACGGCTAAAATCAACGCAACTGTTTTTCTCTAGATTTAATGAGAATAGTTGGATGAAAGCGACATCATCTCAGTCCTTGTTATATGTGCTGGCTGACGGGTCACAGCAGGGAGGCTTATGAAGGAACTTATGCCCTGCAAACGTGTCCGCTTACGGTGATGTGAATGAGCGTTGTTGTTGTGAGTCTCTCTCTCTCTCTCTCTCTCGTTTTTCGTGTCGTCGTTTTAATTAACCTTTATAGATAATCCTCTCGTCCTCTTGTCGTCTTCTCTTCTGTTTACTAACTCTGTCGTTCTCCCCCAGCGACGTGAACGACTAGTAAAAAAAAGAAATATGAACAGGCACGTGGGCGAGGGAGATAAGATTATTTTCTTTTTATGGTATGTGTATAACGCGGTAAAAACTATAAACACACACACACACACACACACACACACACACACACACACACACACACACACACACACACACACACACACACACACACACACACACACACACACACACAGAACATAGTAGTATTACATGCCAACAGACAGCTAGATATATGGTAAGTGCGTTTATGATCGCCGTAATACACACAAACAGACGGATGGTGAGAGCAACAACAAACACAAACTCAGACAATACAGAGAGAGAGCGAGAGAGAGAGAGAGAGAGGAGAGGGAGGACGTCCCCCAAAATGGTAACACACATCCTATATATCCACCCACCCCGAAAAAAGGAAAAGGAAATATAATAAAAAATAAAGGTTTGAAAAAAAAATTATCAGAAAATAGGAAATAATAAAGAATCATAAACAAAAGAAAGATCATCACAGAAATTCGGGATAAAAGAGGAGAAATGCAGCAGCATCCTGGGCCAAGGTTCAAAGATCCCATCCCAACCATGGAGCATCACGTGTGAGAGGGATGCGGTGAAGAGTGCTGGCATATAGATCACAGCATCACGAACCCCTGCGGATATATGCATAGAAGAGGCATATCTGATCTCCTCCCCCCCCCCCCAATCACCACCAAATACTCAGAGTACATTGATCCTGACTCCAGCTTCCTCCCAACTACCCGCAGATGACTTCGTCCTTTTTCGAGATTCCCGAATTTTCACGGTTAGCTATTTTTCATTTTGTTCCCATTTTTTTTTTTTTTATGTTTTCAGTATTGATGTTTACGGTTGAGAGACGCCATTATTCATCAGTATTTTCCGGAATTCTAATTATTTTCGATATTCGATTATTGGTAATTTATACGCTATTCGGCTTTTACGGGTTTGTGATAATTGAACTACTAATGCATTCACGATGAGTAGAAACCAAATTTACATTGTTTTTGTTTTGGGTATTTAGGGATGAATAATTTACAATTTTATTATGTATAGTTTAGGAATATATGTGGTCTGTTATCCTCTCCTTAAGGTACAACACAAGATCCACCAATGAGAGTGACTGTAAATGTGTAAGTGTAAATGTGAGTGCTATTGAGAGGGTATAGGGATAGTGTGTGTGTGAGTGTGTATGAGTCAGTCTGAGGTTAAGTGTGTGAGAGTGGATGTAATATTATAAGACTCACAGTGAAAGTACCAGAGTGAGAGTGAGTGGATGTAAGAGTGTAAGTCCATGGTTAAGAATATGTGAGTGAGTGAGTGAGTGGGTGAGTGAGTGAGTGAGTGAGTAGAAATAAGAGTATTGTATAAGCGACTGTTTTGAACACCTTTACCTACGTTACTAATCAACTTGGTTTTTTTTACCATAGTGTGATACATCTAACACACTGTAAGCCTTTCCCAGTCATACAGAAGGGGACGATGTGTGTTTGTTTTACGTCTATTGGGAACTAACTTTTACCTCAAGACCTTTGGTGATATGAGATGATGTTAGTGATGGGTGAAGGGTCATTTTTTATGAGAGAGAGAGAGAGAGAGAGAGAGAGAGAGAGAGAGAGATGACTTTATTGAGGAAGGAAGAAGAGTTATATCATAATGCGTTGTACGAGAGTGAAAAAGAGCGAGTGCAAGAGTGACTGTGAGTGTGAGATTGCAGAAGGTGTGTGTGTGTGTGTGTGTGTGTGTGTGTGTGTGTGTGTGTGTGTGTGTGTGTGGAAGGATGCCTCACACATAGCCTCGGGAACGTGAAAGAATGTGTCGATTCATTCATAAAAATTGGACCACATTATCCCCTACCAACACCCTCGACCCGGCTAATTACACAGTCGGGAAGTAATTATTTTCTTATTCATAGTTGATTTACTTTTGTGTTTTGAATTTTTGGCTTTTTTTCACGAATAATAATAAGAAGAAGAAGAAGAAAAATAGATAGATAGATAGATAGTAATGGCTTAAAAAAAATGCGTATGTCTCACAGAACTTGACAGACACTCGCGGGAAGACGACACGAATTATTGTACAGTGTCTTAGGGTACACCAGCCGGACCTTAGAGCAGTAGTATATTACGAGGAGTTACAAGATACATCAACTATACTTAACAGAGAAGCTCAGTACATGGGTCTGTTAACACTGGCACATAAATACTTTCACCTTTAACCCTTTGAGGACGATGGGTTAACCCTTTGAGGACGACGCTTTAACCCTTTATGACTCAAAGGGTTAAAACTGAAACTATGCGAAGGTATTAAACTGTCTAATTGAAACTATGGACGGTAACTGACAGTCTTAATAACATCCTGTCTAATTGAAACTATGGACGGTAACTGACAGTCTTAATAACACCCTGTCTAATTGAAACTATGGACGGTAACTGACAGTCATAATAACGTCCTGTCTAATTGAAACTATGGACGGTAACTGACAGTCTTAATAACATCCTGTCTAATTGAAACTATGGACGGTAACTGACAGTCATAATAACGTCCTGTCTAATTGAAACTATGGACGGTAACTGACAGTCAATATAACCTCATCAATGCACTAACAATCTACCGTAACTAAATATCTTCACTGAATCTCTCTTTTTCTGCCATAAGTCAAAGGAGTAAAAATACGTTGATGAATCTGTGTATTATTCTCATCATGTAGGAACAATGGACGTTATCGGAGACACGTCCACCCTCGCCCTTCCACGCCCGTGTAAGTAATGGAAAGAAGAAGGAAGAGGGGATGGAAACAGTGGAGACGGGAGAGAAAGAATGCTGGGGTTTGGGAAGAAGTGGGGAGAAGTGGGGAGGAGGAAGAGGTCGTGATGAAGGAGAAGATAATGAAAGAGGAGACAAAATAAAAAGTGATAACAATAAATTAGAAATTCTTATCGAAAGAAAACGAAGACAATAAAATAAAAAATGAGGAAATGAAGAAGAAAGAAAAACAAGAAAACGATCAGACAAGTCACAAACACGTTCAAAACACGTCTGGTCATGGATTAAACCCAACTAAACACATGAGATAATAAAAACTCCCCTTATCCTATACGTCAGCGTTTAAAGGGATCAAATACACCCCTTATCATAGAAGCCCTTGGCTCGTACACTTCTGTTCTCGTCGTCTCTTATAAAAGGATCATTCGCCGTGACTCTCGTCCTTGTAAAAAACCTGAAGAAAAAATACAATGAAGTAGAGCACCTGATTCCCTCCTTTGATCTTAATTACAGGTACATATTAAAGAGTTACCCTTTTTTTTAACGATCATTAATCCATTGGGCCTTGAGGAGGCTTGTGGCAATAGTGTAATTCATGCTTTATGGGTTGAATTATTTATTTAAAGGATCAAAATTTGTTCTGCGTTTATGGTAGATTTTGTTTTTCGTGTGTGTGTGTGTGTGTGTGTGTGTGTGTGTGTTTATTTTGTCACATGTAGGTGTATATGTATTGCCCTTTGTTGTTCCTTGACGTGTGTGGAGACAGGAAAGAAGGAAGCCAAAAATAAACTCACGCCATATAATTATCTTTACATCCACACAATTCCTTTGCATGGGGCGTGGTTACCTCACATCTTTGTTCCCACACGCCCACACGCCCGCGCTTCTGCCACCACAACAACCATTAGTTATCTGCCTCACCTCCATTATGGCCCAGAGATTCATCAGGTAGTTCACTCCATTAAAACAGTTTACATAAGGAAGTTTTCTCACTTGTATTCTCTCTAACATAATTAAATTCGTTTTGTGGATGTTTTAATACCCGATACCAAGTCCTTAGTAAGTACAGCTCACTATCTCCTCGCGTTGTGTCACGTCTGGTGCACTACCTGAAATATCCAAGCCTGAGCATAAGTGCATATCCAGGTTTTGAAAAGAATTAGAGATGAAAGAAAAGGAGAAAAAGGCGTAATTCACTTTTTGTAGGACATAAAAATAATAAGTAGCAACAGTGAAACAGGAACATTAAAATTGCGATGAAGAACGAGACAGAAAAATGCAGTTAATAAACTGACTTCCACGAAATTCTTAAAAAAAAAGAAATACTGTTTTCTTTTAATGTTGTTTTTTCATAACCTTCATTAATATTTCCTTTTGTTCACTGTACCTCCACCATCCCCAGACCTGCAGGTGAGCACTCCAGTTGTTAATTTTTTTCGCGGTACAGTACTTGTATTACCGACGCTAGTACCCGCCCCAAGACCGTCAGTTGGAAAATACTCTTTATTCCAGTCATATGTGGCGGGGGTCAGGGAGCGCGGGGAGGAGTCGGGAAGCAGTAGAAAGAGTCTGGGGAGGGGTCGGGGAGCAGCGGAAGAGCCTGGGGAGGGGTCTCGGAGTGTGGAGAGGGGTCAGGGAGTGCAAGAATTCACGGGGGTCAGTACGGGGAAGGGTCTGGGGTTCGGGATCAACAGGAGAGCCTGAAGAGGGTTCTGCGGGTTCCGGAAAGAGGTCGGGGAGCGGTAGGAGAGTCTGGGGAAGGGTCGGGGAGCGGTAAAAGAGCCTGGGGAGGATTCTGTGGGTGCGGGAAGAGGTCGGGGAGCGGTAGGAGAGTCTGGGGAGGAATCGGAGAGAGATGGGAGAGCCCGGGGTGATGCCGGAACATGTCGCGTCAGCAGGGCTCACAGGGTAAGGGGGCATAACAGAGGAGCCGACGGGAGAAAGTGCCCGTCAGGAGCTCCTTAATGCCTGTCCTGGTACATTAGGGCCCAAGACCTCTAGCGGCTATTGTTTGTGTGTGTGTACTTTCTCCCGGCGACCGCAGGCATGGAGTTCCACTGTAATTACCCTCTCCTACTCTGTTATTATTGTAATCATTATTGTTGTTGTTCCTATATTAATTACAAGCAGTGGGTGTAACTCTTGTATTATTATTGTTGTTATTGTTATATTAATTACAGTTATTGTTATTATTTTATTATTATTAGCGTATATATAAACTGTGTCGTCGATTTGTTTTCTCATGATAAACGATTAGTTGTAATGAAGATTAATTAACTAGGAGTGGGGTTTTCCGTTGTATCTGACTAGTCCCCGTCACCACACACACACACACACACACACACACACACACACACACACACACACGTATTGTACCCACTATGGAACAAGAAGGCATGTCAGATGAACCATTATGAACCCTCACAACGTATCCTCATAGTTGTTCCATTGTTCCTTACACCGGAGCTATACTTTAAGCCCACAAAGACTCATACAGTAGCGGTTAGTGGTAAGTTACTATGAAGTATCAGATAATAAAAACTAGGATCTTTTGTTCGTCTTCCTCATTTCATTCTTGATCAATTTAAACATACATGAACGTTACTCTTCGTCACGTCTGAGTTAGATGAGAAGATCGTTCACTTTCGACGACGTTCCATAATTGTCTGACTTTCTTATTCTAAATTTATTGTTGTAAGTGCGGATGAGAGGTACTTACTGTAGGGTTCTTATGGACGGTAGAGGTGATATTGGTATATATACGATGGCTGGAGGACTGTCTCTCTCATTACCAGTGAAGGGGGGAGGGAGGGGAGGGGAGAGGATAAAGAAAGGAATATTGATAATTAAGACCCGGATTTTAAAATGTTCAGACGTTGATATCTTCCACTTTTTCTCATAATGGAAAAACGCAGCTAGTTAGATTATCAAATGCATTTCAAGTACCATTCAGATTTTTACCTTTGTGTCGTGTTATTAAGTGAGCAAAGTAAAATGCGTTTTCACTTTTATGCGACAATTTGAGTTACTAGCTTATGAGACTACCGAGTCAAGCTCAAATGTTTGTGATTAAAATATTATAGCAGCATTTATGAAAATTTTAATGAAAACGTTCAGGAAAACTACAATAAAAGGTTCTGTCAAGGCGAGGGAGCTCTTACGCAGTCTATATCCCTTCAGCAGTACTTACAGGCGGGAGGAAGGCGTGAATCCCCCACCAGCAGGAGGTACCGAGTCCTGTGGGCGTGGTTAACCTATACTAAGGATGAAGTCAAGGGCAGCGTTCTCACTCCTCAGGTGATTTTAAGAGATAATAAAGAAAAGTCAGAGATAGAGAGAATAGAGGAGATTTTCTATTGGTCAAAGAAAGTATTAAGTTATCACAGAGGATGAGAGAGTGAAACACACAGGTAGACTGGAGCCAAATTCACCCCCTACCCTCTTTCTCCTATCCTCTATCCCCTCCTCCCCTCCATTTACCCCCCCCCTTAATCCTCCCCTACCAATAATCCCTTAACCTCCCCCACCAACCTAACCCCTCACCCCTACCCCGTCTCCACCCTCCACCCCCCATCGTAAGGGAGTTTTGGTCCTCTATGCTTTCACCGGAAATAGTATAATTACTCTTTTCGCAATAAACCTACAACGAACATCCCCAATGAGGTTTACCCCCAACACAGTGGTCGCGGCGGTATATTTAGAAACAACAATGCAATTAGGGAATGTTTAACAGGTACAGGTAAGACGAGAGACCTTGACAGTTTGTGAATGTTGACGTGACAGTTTTATGTTGAGAGAATTTTATATTAGTAGTAGTAGTAGTAGTAGCAGTAGTAATAGTAGTAATTTAGTAGTAGAAGTAGTAGTAGTAGTATCGTTCTACATCCTCACCCCGTGACCACCAAAATTACCTGCGTCATCATTACCTCTGTCGCTACAAACGGTACTACCACA